TACTTCTGGAGATGACTCGGGGGCGGCATTCTTTGCTCTCTTATTCTTTCCCCTGTCAGCGGAGTAACATTTTCTTTTTAGTTGCCTGTTCTCCAACCGGGGACTCCGTGAAGAAATACTTATATCCGAAGAAGGCTCGGAGACACCTGTTCGAGTAAGCGCCTCCTGAAGCAGTCTTTCCGCATCAGTAAGTTCAGCTAAAACATCCTCCTCGGGGATAACCGGCAAATGTTATGATGAATCGTAGGTTGATGCAAGTTCTGGGCATTAAATGCGTAGCGACGTGTGTCTAATCAACTGTCAGAAGCTTTTCAGAAGGAATTATAGTAATTCCCGTCAAAATGAGTGTTTCCACCAACTTCCCGATGATACAAAATCATGTCACCGGAAAGCAGGGGGGGCTATCTGTATAGGATAAAATATGCTATCCTAAGTGGCCGCTTAAGAGAGTGACACGTGGAGCCCAAGGTGGAGGATATTTAAAACTGAAGGCAATTTTCCCGTTTGTTACCGGAGGGGGTGACACTTCGTAAAGATGCAATAAATACCCTCTGCTCCATGGTATTTAATGGAGAATATTTTACAGCATTTAGTGCATCTGCTCGTTACAGAAATTTGGCATTTATGCTCACCATTACACCTTCTTCAGTGGCCATCATAATTGATATTAAAGAAGGGCATGATCCTAGGACCTTGTTTCCTAGGTGCAGCTATAAATAATGTGCTATGTTATCATTGAAAAGAGGACGACTTTTCCGACAAACTTATGCTACAATCGATTCAAAGTTTATACCATCGATTCTATCTTCTTATTCTTTAATTTCATTACTGTTGTGCCCGCAAGTTCTGCTCTCGGAATTACTATTTTTGCGATTTTATCTTCACTTCAAGGCTAAGTATTGCATGTTTCTTCAATTATTTTATTATTTCGGGATTGAATTAATTCACTTGTCAAGAAACCACATATAAATTCAATTGTACCGTTTTACGAGTAACACATACGATAATTAATAAATTCACTAAAATTTGTTAGTAAGAATATAGTTAAAATAGTGCACAAAATATTCATATAGAAAATAGAAGTATTATCGAATTATTTATTTCTAATAGAAAATAAATATTCATTTACGAGAATATACAAACTTGCTCACTCTAGAAAATGCCCAAAAGAAATGATTATTCTTAATGGTGAGAAGGTGACGAAAATATTGATGGGTTGGGAATTTTTTTTTAATAAAAGAAGTATATTCATTTTAACAAATGCGTGGATAAGTCAAAAAGTGTTTAAAAACTAATTTGACAACTTACGAGCTTAACCAAACACCTCATGCGCAAAAGAAAGAAAAAAAAGTGAAGGTGCAAAATATAACCTCAATTGCCACGAAGTTGATGAAGTGTGAGAGTAGGCAGAATCCAAAATGGATTACAGAGAGTCAAACATAATCCAAAACGGAATAAAGACAATGCTCACAAAGAAATCTTACAAAAAGAGTAAGCCTTTGTCATATATAGCTGTTCACATTCAACTGTTTTCTCCTTCTAGGCGTTACGTTTCTTCTCTTTTTTCAGGTTAAGATTTTACCTTGTTTTTTTCAGTGAACTGAGTGATAAATTTTTGTGGGGATTTTCAGGTTTTTGATAATGCTTCTTAATTTTTAGTTTTATTGGTTTCTATCTGAATCTCTTTTTTTGAGTTCTTGAAGTCTTGATTAAGTTTATGTATCAAAAACCGCATATATAGGAATGACCTTATTTGGATGATAAAATTTGGGTGTTTCTCTGAATTTTTTCAATCCTGGCTGTGTTAAAACTTAAAACTACTTTTGCTTTAGGTATTTTAGTTTGTTGAGTTCTTCAAGAAAATTATTTTACGAATGGAAATGCATCATGCATGTGCTAAAGTCTGATCGGAACCCAAAGTTGATATAACTTGAGCAATTTTTAGTAACAGAGATATCCCGTGGGGCAGTAGCACAAGGTTCGAAAAATATGTGCCCGCCCCTCTACCCTTCTCCACTTAAATACCAAGTTGTTGTCTATGTCAAGGTTCGAATCGTGATGTGCGCCTAACCCACACATCACATGTTTTCTTGATTGTTTAGTGTGTGCCTATATGTCTCATGAAATCTGAGGCTTATAACCTGCATTTCAAAAGCTTCTCTTCTTTATAACTTGCTAACGATATGTAGCTGATATATTTTCTGTTGTGCAGGTTTGGTAATCTTGAAGCTTTCCTTCAATTTTACTATTGTGAGTATTTAAAATGTTACTTTGTTAGTGGTGCTGATATCGTAACCTTCTCAATTTAAAGTGCATAAAATATATCATAATGAATTCTACAATAATGAGCCTGACCTAGTAATTGATCCCTGTTACAATGTAGTATTCTCAAACTAGGCCATCACTTTTAAAATTTAAAATACGTTTAGTGGCTTTAGATTGGTAATATTCAGTTTGTTTCTTGTAAAGAAACTTCATTAATTGCTTTTAGATAGTGATTTATTTGGATTCCACAAGTCTATTCATTACTGAAAATTCATTCATCTACCAAACTGTACAAATTTCATGCATTCCGCTGTTGCAAGTTCTGAACAGTTTCCATTATTTTGGAGTTTGTACTTCCATATGTGCACATAACTTTAGTTAGGGTTGCTGCATAAGCTGTAAGATCTGTAATATCTATTCATCTTCCTTTATTTGTTAGTGTTTCATTAGTGGTATTCTTTTCGCCTTGTCTCTAATTATTTTCTCTGGCGGTTATAATTTGTGAGTCATTAGGATGTGTGCATTGTAAGTTGACATTAGAATTCTTAACAAGCTCTAAAGTAATGATAGATTTCCATATAATGGTAAGAACTTAAAGTTAATGGAACTCGATCTTGAATAAATGTTACTTTCCATCTGTATGGTTAAGACCAGTTGCCGGTTAACTGTTTCATCTTCATTGTAAATTTCTGCTCTCATATTGATGTTGAGGATGGATCTCATCGTCAACTGGTAGTCCCCGTTATCTTGATCTGCATGTTAAACGCATAAACAACAATCGAGAAACACTAAAGCTTATAACCTGACCTGCTTCAGGTGCGTAAGGTGTTGAAAGGAAATGACTCACACTGGTGAAACTTCTGAGGGCCATGGAACTGAAGGCAATGATACAACGATTGAGATAAAAGTAAAAACTATGAATTCTCAAACCCACAATTTGCGCATTAGCAATCAGGTACTTGTTTATTGATATTAGCTTCTGAACTGTTACGGTGTTACCTTTTCATTAAGTAAAAGAAATTTGTGCGATACATTAATTGTGCACGTTTAACACTAAACCATGCGGTTTTTGCTTGCACAACACAACCACATGTATAGTTTATGCATGCATCCTCACTTTTTTAATCACTAAAATGGTTCTTGGTTATGTGCTGATCTCCATTTGCGATTTCATGCAGATGAAGGTATGGAACTTGAAAGAACAGGTGTCTCTTTTGATAGGGATGCCAATGGAACAACAGCGTCTAATCTATTGTGGAAAAGTCTTACAGGATGATGACCTCCTTTCTTCATACAGTATCCTTTTTAGTCACTTTATATATGATCATCTTTAGTATAATATAACTAAGACGCATTACTACGGCAGTAGTTTCTCAAAGTAGCACTTTTCTTTAAACATCAGGTGGCAGTTTTCTTATGATTTGATGCATTTACGTGTAGGAGTTTTAGGCTATGTCTCTTTGCTCTTATTATTTCTTTCCCCATCAGATACTTAATGCTAATTAGATATTCAAAATGGTGATACTTTACATCTGGTTTGCACCGTTCAGAGCATGCCACCCTTTGGTAATTCTCCCTGTTTCCTAGGTTTAATGAGCTTTCTTTAATACGACGTTGGTTGAGAAGTTGTGTAGACAATCTCCTCCTAAATATCCATTAGAAATTGTTTACTAATTATTCTTAGTTTCTTTTTGTATCGCAAGTGAAGTAGAAAATTTCAAAACCATTTAAGTTTTCTGTCATTTCTAAGTTCTAAGATAGACGTGTCACCAGCTACTCCTTCTGTTTACTGGTCATGTGATTTTTGCACTTCGTCTTAACGCATTTTGGCCTTCGGCTCATTATCAGTTCTCTGTATTCTAGCTGAAGAAATTTATACTTCGTGTCTTTACATTTCTATTCAGTTACTTACTCCTGCCTGTTCTGTTTGCTCTACCTCAGGTGCTACTGATAGGATTTCTCCCAATACTCAACAGGTAATTTCATTTGCATATTATCATTTTGATCGTCGTTATAGTTCTTATATCTCCACATGCTTTATGTGTGTATACATCCTCTGCAAAAAGCGTAATATTGAGGGGGTTGTCGCTGCCGTTCAAAGTATTATAGTATTTTCTTGGGATTTGTAATTTAGGTTGTACAGAAGTACGGTATAATATAGTCTGGTTGTTGCAGGAAATCCCCAACTCTATAGAAACTTTGTCACGATATCTCAACCGAATGAGACGAGGATTTAATATAAACGGTCAGTACTTCTCTTCCTCTTTTATGTTTTCCTGTCACTTTAGAGGTATCTGGATAAGTCATTTTCTATAATCAGGAACAGAAAACAATACGAATGAGGTACTCGGAAGTGCATCCAATACTTCCACTCCTTCACAAGGAATTCCAGAAGTAGAACAATTAGCAAGACTGCTGTCGTCCACTAGGAATATGCTTATTAACCAAACTGCACAGCGCTTTCTTGTAAGTGCTTGCTCCTGCTTATGTTTTATTAACTGCTTTCCAATTCCTTCAAATTTTCTAAGATCAGCCGAACATTTTTGACTGGTTGGATTTTCTGTTGGCATAGGAATTGGAAAGGGATCTGCGGCAAAATCTGAACGTGAGTGATCCGAGGGTGCGCCAGAGAACTCAGTTAAATGCACAGACAACAGTCGGAACAATGTTTAACAATCTAGGCGCATATTTTCTTGAGCTTGGCCGCACAATGATGTGGGTCCGAATGGGTGACAATGGGGTATTAGACTTTGCTCTCTACTAAATGGATTATTTTTTCTCTTAATAACATGATCATGTCTGTGATCGTTTTCAGAGTACTGCCGTAGTTAATGCTGGCCCTGCAGTCTATATAACCAACTCGGGTCCACTGTCCATCCAGGTAGCCTCGTCATTGTTCCTCTACTAAAACCAAATCTATATCTGACAATTAAACTTTGTAAATCCAACGTTCTGTCCGTCAACAGGCAGAACTTTATTCTGTGATGTTCTCAACAATACACAGGCTAATCAACTCTGGTTTAGTAAATGATAATGGTACGCGGCTGCACCAACTGCAAGTTGGCACACAAATGATAGGAGGTTCGTTATGTAGTTAGTTCATAAGATTTGACATTATTTCTGTATGCTATCTAGCTGGCAAATGAGCAAGGTAAGATGAACGCTTAATTTTATGTGCACCATAAATAGGAATGAAATAATATAGTCCCTTTGTGAAATTATTACTTACTAGTTTCCAATGGAAATATTTGTTTCCTTGCCAAAATAATAAAACTGATTAATTGGCCCTTTCATTTTATGATGTATAAATTAGTGAAATTATATCTACGTGAAATTGAAACAGATGCAATAAAATTTCAGCACATGCAACTACGTCACAGTCCCAAGTCGGTGTCGGCTATATGAATCATCTCTGCCCATTATAATACAAAATAACAGTAAAGTTTTCAGCACATATAATGTAAAGAAAGTGCCAGTGGCTGTAAGCCTGTAAATAGGTTAAGGGCTAAGTTGGATTTACTAACTATAAAAATGGATAAAAGCATCAGCATTTTGTTGAGCCTGAACTTGGTTTTAAATTTTTTCTCTCTGATCTTTAATTGTTAATCAGGAGGACAACCACCAAACATGTTACGAGTTAGATACACCAGATACTTTCTTAGACCCATAGTTGCCACAGCTGATCAAACTGAAGCTCAAGTGCCACCAGGAAGTGGCGTACCAACGGAAGTTAGCCAACTTTTGAGAAGTATGTTCCTCAGTGGTGAAGTTCAAGCTGCTACACCTGCAGGTGCAACTGTTGACAACGTCGTTGACAACGCAAGGATATTAGGTGTATCTTCTGGACCATCAATTATAGAACCTGGAAGTGCTCATGAATCAGCTGGTGAAGTAAGTGTATTTTACACCTTTAATGTTGAATACTACAATCTTATGGATAATTCTATTCGTTTTGGATTTTGACAACCATCTTTTCCTCTATACTTACACAACTAGCATAGACTCAGCTTTTATCATAAGCATTGATGTGTTTGTGCAGCCTGCTAATGAAGATGTTGGGACCTCTCATCGACGAACAGCTGATTTTGCTGAAAGCACATCACATGTGAAACGACAAAGGGTATTATTTACTGCAATTTAAGCTTTCTTCCTTTCCATTATGCCGACAGTTTGAGTTCTTTCATCCTCTCTACGTAACACCTCTTCCTGTTGCTTCCACATTGAACCTTATAATTTAAGGAAGAAGAAAACAAGGTAACATGAGAAAGTGGCATAATTTCAAACTGTCCCAACTCAAACAAAATAATAGTACAAGTTTCAGCCTGACTAACTCCTAGTTAAATCCATTAACCAGTGGCGGAGCCAGGAATTCTGGGAAGGGGATTCACAAAAATATAAGAATGACATACTTGGGATTTGAACTATGACATAAGTAATTTTTCACCCCTTTACCACTACATTAGAAGTTTCTCTTATGTCAAGGGATTATACAATCAAACCTCTTTATAACAGCATCCCCATATAACAGTCATTCACTATAAAAGCCAAGTTTTCCTCGGAACCGATTTTTGTATTATGTTATAATATATGTCCTCTATAACAGCCAAAAAATATCGGAACAAACGAGGCTTTTATAGAGAGGTTTGACTGTATATACAAAAAATTATTTTTAACCTATTTAGGCTGTATAATAGGCGGATCGCCCCTGCCTTTGACATAGGAAGGCTGTATCTTTTAACTTGAATATTCCCTTAGTTTTCCCATGCAAGTGTACTATATATTCAACAATATGTTAAACAATCAATTAGGTTCCGATACTTCAGAGGATATATGGAATAGTTAGAGATTCATTTGAATGCAGCTTCGTGTTAATTTTTTATTATGGTAGGTGCTGAACATGCTTATTGATTTAGTATATCTTCCTGATAAAAAGTTTTTGGTTGCTATTTTTGACACAGATGGAGTGATGCCATTGTTGTGGGAGCGTATTTTGTTGTAGTACATCATGTGTTTGGGGTATAATCAGCTGGCGACAACATGTTCCCAATTACTAATAGATAGTTAAATCAGTCTTCTCTGTGGAACTTTGTAGTTATTTTCTTGTCTGTTTTGCGACGATCTTAAAAACTTATGACAAAGGATTTTAAGCTTTCTGCTCATTGGTGCTGTCTTTTCATAATATATGCTGTTACATACATTGCCTTGAGATTATACAGTAGGAATGCCAAATGTGAATTTCCAAGTATTTTTTCTTCGTTGGATGCCATACTGAATTTATCCAAGCCATTAATGTGGTCATCAAACTAGGTCATAATTTAGGCAGGTCCGGGATTTTGAGTTTGTTGATTCTGTATTCTAGAAAAGACGGCTTACTGAATTTATATATATCAAGTTGATTTTTAACACAAGTACAAAAGATTAAAATCACCGACGGATTCGGTCGAAAATTGTTTTCCGACCGACCAAAAAGTAGTCAGAAATACGTGATTTCTGATCGAATTCCGACCATTTTGGCCGTCGGAAATCTGCCATTTTCTAGTAGTGTATGTAAGCTAGTGCGTTAGATATGGTATGTTCAGTCAGGTTAACTAGTTGAAACTTCAATTGTTTCTTTTTAAATTGGGACTTAATTATATTCATTCTACTCAATGGTAGAAAATGTTGGACTTTAAAGCATTGAGCTTCAAAGACTTTAAGCATTGGGCTTTAAAGTCTAAGAGTGTGAATTGGAAATGGTGGGAAATAAAATGGAGGGAAATGAAAATTTGAATAAAGTGAGCTTTTGTCTTGAACTTTGTCCCTCATTGGTGAGGGACAACTACATTTGTGTGTATATATATAGAATCACTTCTTAAAGCTCTTAAAAGATGTTGAAGAGAATGAACCCTCACGCCATCGTCGCTCGGCTCGGCTTCGGCTTCGGGTTTGGATTTGGATTTGTCGATCGATAAGATTATTTTTGGACAAAATTTATTTAATTAATTATTTAATAATTAATTAAATGTCAGTTAGTTAGCCGCTGTCCAGGCGTGACCGCGGTAGGACCGCGGCAGGACGCGCAAACTTCTGAACAGACACCTTTTCTAGAACAAACATCACACCTCTTCCAATAATTGCCTATAAATTCTGAGGCATGGCTTCGTTTTTAACACACTGAAAAAATTACAAAACTTCCTTCTTTCTGAAAATACTGCATTCTAATTCGCAGTCTCTCTCCCTCAAATTCGTAAGTGTGATTTTGCTCCGTTTTTTGAGTTCGTTAGTATCCTGCAGTTTGTATTGCCACTGTTGCAGGAAGGTTTATTCCGTTTCATCCTGGGAGGATTTAATCCATTACCTTGGCAACGTGTGAGGGGGTTAAAATTCCTTAAGAACGCACAAGCAAATTGTGGACTCGGAATATTTCTTATTCTTTACTGTTTTCCAGTTTCTTTTATTCTTCTAACAGTTTTTTGATTTTGTGTTTTAACACAGTAGCGGATTACAGAAAAAAGCAAAAGCATCTTATACCATATTCAGGGGCGGTCCGACGAATTTTGTGGTCTAAAATAAATCTTTACGAAGGGTCTTAACTTTTTTATTTTTTTATTTATTTATTTAAAGTCTATTTTTCTTGACTTTTTTAGATGCAGAGTTATTACTCCCTACGTTTCAAATTAGATGCAGTATTTTCTTTTTAGTCTTTTATAAAATAAATGACATATTTCTAAATTTAGAAATAATTCAACGTTAAACTCTTCATTTTACCCATTTATCCTTAATGAGAAGTATTTTTATAACCACACAAATGTAATGGCGTCACAAAGCTTTTACCCCTTCAGCTTTTAAAACCTTAAGTTTCAAAAATCTTTTTTTTTTTAACTTCGTGTCGAGTCAAACTACCTCATCTAAATTGAAACAGACGGAGTAATAATTTTCTTCTAATCAATTTCTCCTTATAAGTTTTTTTCAACTAACAATATAGCTAATCCATTGAACCTGTGTCGTGACATTGTCGATACAACGAGTAAAGTTCAACGACTTTAATAGTATATATTTTTTTTTTTAATTTCACTTATACAATCAGTAAAGTTCACTGAATTAACTGATCGATACAAAAAAGAGTAGTGCCAGATAGTGCAGAATCCAAAATAGATTACAGGGAGTCAAACTGGAGTCTTCATTCAGTTTATATAAATAGAGTTTCCAGTAAAGACAATGCTCAACAAAACCAATATTACAAAAAGGTGAGTTCACATTCAACCATTCTATGTCAATAGGCGTTACATTTTTAACTAAAGAAGAACAAGATTCTTCTATGTTTTTTTTTTCAGGTTAAAAACCCAGTGATCTTTACTGTTTTTTTAGTGATTTGAGCGATGAATTTTTGTGGGTTTTCTCTGAAATTCGTCCAGGTTTTGATAAAGCATCTGATTTATAAGAGTATTTTTGATTTCTTTCTGAATTTTGTTTTGGTGTTTTTGAAGTCTTGATTTCTAGCATTTCTCAAGTCAAATCTTTTGTTTTTGATTTTTATCATTTCCTTTAAGCTTGTTTCTGCTCCCCTTAAATGGGTCCTACGCGGCACGAATGTGAATTAGTCCAGCCAGTGAATCCTAGTGGTTAAACCAAAAAAAATCATCATGGTTGTACTAACATTCATCATTTCTTTTCTTGTTTTACTATATGATATGTTAGCTGTGCTGATCTTGATATCTTAATATGGTATGATAGCCTATGAGTTTAAATATGAACTCTTAAGTCTTAATGATTTCTTGTGATATAACGAACATCAACTATTTCTTCCCATATATATCTGCTTGAAGTAATTTGTTTTGAATTGTCTAGGAAATAGCTGACCAGCCAAGAGGAGACACTGATATTTGCTCGTGATTTCTCTTACAATGAAAGACAGTGATTGGATTTTGGTGAGTTTGATTCTTTCTAAATCTCATTTTGTCATTTAATTTCCTTCCCTTTTATTCACTTGTATTTTTCACATATATATGATTGATTTGACCTAGAAAATGTTACTACCCTCTTTAAAAAAGATGGTCACTATTTCTTTATTAGTCCGTTCCAAAAAGATTGGTACCTTTCAATATTTTCTTAATATGAAGCATTTCTAGCCACACAAATGCTATGACAGGTTTCAGACCACAAGTTTCAAACGTTTTAATGCGACACAAATGTTATGACTTATTTAAGATTACATATGTTAAAAGTCTTTCCTTCTTTATTAAAGTTTGTGCCAAGTAAAACTAAGACAATCTTTTTGAAACAGAGTAGTACTTTATGCTGAGATATATACCAGCTCAGGTCTGCAATCACTTTTTGGGTTTTCCCCCCTTTTTTTTATTAGTTCTGAATTTAGATCATCGCTAATTAACTTTGGAAGACTAGTAACAGAATCAGCAGCAGATGCTTGTTTGTTTGACCCCACATTGATTTGAAATCATTTTTCTTTGTTAATTCTAATATATATTCTTTTTCCAACTTTGAACTCATTAGTACTATAGAGCTAGGGAAGATTTTACTCTGTGCCGGAATGAATTCTTAAATTTGGATATATAATTCGTTGATCTTGCTTTTTGTATAATTCTACAGTATATGTTCGGTTTGAAAGGGAAAGAACATGATCGTAAGAAGAAGATACAGAACCAAAGATCTGACGCAGACAATGAAGGCAAATCGGGGAAGGATCAAGACGGCTCTCTTGAGAAGACAACACTTGACAAACAACAGCCAAAAGGCATCAATGGTAATCAATTGGGAATTCTACACTTGCCGGATGTAGTGCATAAGTTACAGATTCATCCGAACTCAGTATTTGGCTCAGATATATTTGTTACAAAGTTCACTAAATAAGTACAGATAACAAATTTTGAACCCACACCAAACTCAAACCCTTACAATTCTGAATCCGCTTTTGGGTGTATCCTAAACTTGATGAAATTAGCATGTATAGAGTATACCTTTGCCTATTACACATATGTTCTTACAAAATTTTGAGAACATAAATATATCATGTTGTTACAAATTTTGAGAAGTTTCTAATTCCCAGTGTTGAACTCCATGTAGAAGAAGCTGCTACACTTGGAGCAACTGAAGATATCGCTGAGAATGCAGAGAAAGGTGTATCTTCTGGATCTAAAAGTGTTCATGAATCAGTTGATGAAGTAAGTGTAACTTTTCGCCATCTTTTGCTCTATACTTACACAACTTGCATAGACTTTGCATTCCGTGTCACCCTCGGCTTTAATTCTAAGATTAATCTATGTACGCGCAGCCTGCTAATGAAGATGTTGGGACCTCTTGTCAACTAAATGATTGTGTGGAAAGCCCATCAGATGCGAATCGACAAAGGGTATTATTACAAAACTTAAAGTTTTCTTCCTTTCCATTATGCTGGCAGTTGAGTTTCTAAGCATGTTGTTTGTGCAGCTTGCCAATGAAGATGTTGGGACTTCTCCTCAACAAAATGATGTTGCACAAGCAAAACGACAGAAGGTACATTTCAGTAACTTAACTTTCCCCCTTCAACTGTGCTGGCAATTGAGTTCTTTCATCCTCTCTACATAACTTGCTCCCGTTACTTCTAAATAGAACCGTCTATTCTAAAGAAGAATAAGACAAGGTAATAGTAAAAGTTTTAGCCTGACTAACTCCATAATATATGTTAGTTCTCATGGGTCTAACACTTGACTTGCATGGCAATGCCTCTGAGTGCTCAAATTTGGTTGTGCTCAAATTCGGTTGTTTAAACCCAATCAAATAGGTTTCTGGTACTATAGAGCCATTTGGCTGCAGCCTTCTCTTTACTTCTGATTATTGTACGTGTTGAACAGGTTTATTTAGAATGTTTTCTTGATAAACTATTTTGGTTGCCTTTTTTTTTTTTTTTTACACAGATGGAGTGATGCCTTTGTTGTGGGATATGAAGTTGGTGACAAGATGTTACTACCAACTACTATTTAGACAATTTCGTTTTTCTTCAGCTTTGAGAACTTCGTAGTTGGT